CAATGCTATCACCTTGTATTGATAATTGTCAAGATGTCTCCAACTTTGAAACTCAGGTCTCCATCTTGCTCAGCATTGTAATCACATACAGCTTCAAACAGATCCATCTGAACAAATCAAAATCATGTTATCATTAATATCATTATTAAATAGAATCACTGCTTTTCTACCAGCTGCAGACCCAGACCATTGCTCCTTTTGCCATGGCAAAGTTCAGGATGAGACATAAAAATTCAAAAGATATAGGCCTAGAAAACTGCAGCACCAATGATCATGTGAGTTCAACTCGCACCTATTCACTTCGTATAGTTCTTTTGTTAGAAATTCAGTTTTAAAACCCTCACATCATTTCAACGTCAAGAATATTCATCCCTGAATATTTAATATTTTTTTACTTTATTTCTCTTTTATAATAGTTCGAGCAAACAATACATGAAAAACATGCATGAAACCATAAAAAAAAGAGATCAAAAAACGGTAGCCCAGGAGGAACCTGAGTATAATACAGTATGAAATTTTATCATCATTATCGTTTGTAAAAATATTCTTTGATTACTTACTCCTTGTTCAAATGTGTGAGCATCTTCATCCTCTTCATTTTCAGTTGGCTTTCCACCCAGTTCTTCTTCAAATTCAGATTCCTCCTCCTCCTCCTCCTCCTCCTCTTCTTCTTCCTCATCTTCTAATTCTTCCTCTTCTCCTTCCTCACTACCATATTATACAAATTAAATAACAGTTATGACTTCTTACTACGAATTCAAACAAAATATGGTCACCATACTTTCATGAGCATAAATATAAAGTAATTTTTATGCAAAAATGATGATGATGATGATGATGATGATAAAACAGTATGATATGATGGTAATGACAATGATAATGTCAATAAAAATGAAGATGATAACAATTATAATTATAATGCTCTAGAAAACCACAGGTGGATGGGTGATAACATTGGTAAACTCTAAGAGTAGATTTTAAGAATGGACAAGTGAGTTAATAAAAGTGGGTGGAGGGCCATGAAATACAGATTTTTTAATATTTAAAAACTGGGGGAAAAGGGGAGTAACTGCCCATTTTTACACCTTATTCCCCCAGTTTTTCGTCAAACAACTTTTTTCTGTCTTAGAAAAATCAGTTCTACAACATATAAAAAAAATGTTTTCCTCCGGAGCCTGACTTTAACTTTATACTGGGTGAAAAATTCAAGCCTTGGTGGCCCCCCCACCCACCATAACTACATCCCTAAATGATGGTGGTTATGATACCAATTATCAAAATATGTATACTTTGCTTTTAAAGAAAGACAGACCTATTTGCAGCACTAATTGTTAATATTATTGTGTTTACATTTGTATAAGGGCCAGAGGCCTCTAGTTCAATAAAGTCTCCGTTTAGGAGAAATGATGATGATAGTAATTAAGATAATTCTTATGATGATATGGTGATAATGATTATGATTAGGTTGATCATTTTAAGGTGTACTATATAGTATATGTCAACTGATTGGTTGATTGGTAGAATGACTGATTAAATAATGCATTGTTTGATTTATGCAAATTACCTTTCTTCTTCATATTCTTCCTCATCTTCTGTCACTTCCTCCTCGTCCAGTTCGTCATAGTCCTCCTCATCCTGTCAACAATTATCAGAAGATACGTAAACTCAAACAGTTTCCTCAACATGTAAATTGGATTAAGTTAGATTTGAACAAAAAAATCCCACCTCATATTCATCTTCCTCATCTTCCTCATCTTCATATTCATCCTCGTCCTCATCCACTTCCGCAATTTTTCCTTTCTTCACATCCGTTTTCTTCCCTTGTATATCAGTAGCTTTTCGTTTACTGCTTTTCTCCTCTTCTACTTGTTTTCCCTTTCCATTTTTCTTTTCCTCTTTTTTCTTTGAAGTAGACCCTGTATTTTCTTGCTTCATTTTCCTGAAAATGTAAAACAAAAAAATAATCTTCAAATATCACAAAATACAAAATAATATTTTTGGTTGGCTCTACATTAAATCCTTTTATGGCAGTTTATACAAACTCTTCCTCTTGATGATACAACACTATTTGTACAGTGGTGGCGCCATGTGTGGGGGGGGG